GGGACTTCCAGTATTGCGGTAATAAGCAATTTGCTTAAGCGAGGCCTGGGTCAGAATCGAATTTCTGTCTCTCGAAATGCGCAAGGTTCAAGCGGGATCGTTGCGAAACATTTGCGGAACACCTCGCGAGCAAACCCTAATCCTACACCCGCATGATATAAAAGACCAAAAAAAGTACAAATTTATGTTCAAACGAAATAAAAAACGATAAAAAAGATATCTCAAAAAGAAAATCTTATTAACTAGATAACAAACGTACGCGCGTTTATGACACGGATGGCATAATGCTTATGCACCGAAAAAATTGTATTCTTGTTTTGAGGAGAGAGATATCCCACTTACTTTAAGTATATTTTATACTAAAATAGGCGCCAAGAAGAGTTTCTTATTTTAAGAGGAAAATCATCTAAATAGTAATATTGATAAGAATATATACTGATTAGAATATAAAAAGCCTCTATAGAAAAACATATATATCTCACTATCGAAAAAGACTATATTCTTAAATAAAGAATATATTCTTAACATTTAATATATAACACTTGTGTGTGTTACAAGCGTAACTCACGTGAATGACGCAAAACACGCGCACGCGCTATTAACACACCGAAAAAATTATATTCTCGTAAGTAGAAGATTTTATATTTAAAAAATCTTCTTAAAGATTTTAGATGATATTCTTCTGAAATTAAGAATATATTCTTAAATAAAGAATCTATTCTTAAATAAAGAATCTATTCTTAAATAAAGAATATATTCTTAAATAAAGAATATATTCTTAATTTTAGAAGAATATCATCTAAAATCTTTAAGAAGATTTTTTAAATATAAAATCTTCTACTTACGAGAATATAATTTTTGTGTTAATAGCGCGTGCGCGTGTTTTGCGTCATTCACGTGAGTTACGCTTGTAACACACACACACAAGTGTTATATATTAAATGTTACTTAATATTATCTCATTTAAATCGTGTAAACGCTACACTTTCCTTCGGCCACGTTGCGAGGCCGCTCTCTCCCTTCTGCGGGAGGTCGCGATCTATTAGGAAACCGCCGTTTAAGTGTGAATCAAGTCACCGGCGTCCATTTAGGCCACACGGCAAAAACAACGACTATCGGCCAACGCCGAAAGCTTTAAGTAACATCGTTTGCTCAATCCGTTTATTATTCCACCCGCGATGGAAAACGAAATTGTCTTCCGACTTCTCTTCACGATTTAAATCGGTTCTTTTCACGCGAATCAAAGTTCGTCCCGAATCTAATCCCCGGTCATCATCATGAGCTGCTTCTCGGTGGGCGCACACGGTAACTCCGCGCGACTCGCACACCGTGTTATTCGCCAATTACACGTTTCAGACAAAATGTGTCTATTGCAAACAGACGCAAACCGCGCCGTCGCCGCGATCGACCCTGGCAATGACGGTTACTGACCCCAACCGAACCGGTTGGCGCAACGGTTTGCACGCACCCCCGATCCCGGAACCCGTTTGGCTTTTCCGATCGCGATTCATCACAGTGTTTGCCACCCGCTATCGCAAAGCCCTGCTTTCCGTTTGTGTCACGATTGTTCTATCATCGATCGCGCAACCAATCTCATACCGGTAGCCCAGCTTGTTTATTCTTGACCGACGCTTGTTCGCTCACAAATCAAACAAATAACCGCAAACTGTTGGTTGTTGCAAAAAACAATCTTTTTGATAAAAGTGAGTTATCTAATAAAATTAAAAATTGTAAGTAATTATAAAAAAAATTTACATGCATCCCCTCTTAAAGTTTAAATTAAACTTACCTCGCGTTTCATTTTCTCTTATGTAAATTCAAAAATATAAAAAGCATTGATTGCATTGTGTCGATCGCGCGAAATGAGGTTTTTCAACTGTGATGTAGTCGTTTGCGAGCTCGCAATTCGTAAAATTGACAAAGGCGAATGTATTGCCGAACATCTCGCCGGTACACGGCCACTTGCAGTTTATAATCTAACAGAAATTGCATAAATTGCCTTGCGATATTGGCTGCGCCATCTGCTGCTCGCGCCGTTTTTCGTCCTATTTCCCGTGACAGCGCCGAGTTTCATCGTCCGTATCGTATCACGAGAGAGAGATGCAATAGTCGCAGTCGGTAGTGGAAGAGCTGACAAATTTCGTCATCGTGCCGCATCTCGCGTCGAGTTCGTCGCGTAAGATGCACGCGCATGTCGACGACGAGACTATAGAGCGAGCGAATTATATTAAAAAAAAAAAAAAAAAAAAAAGGAAATAAAGATTACGTGTTTTGTTACGCGTGTGTGTGTGCGCGCGCGCGATTTTGTTGCGCAAAGAGTATTAATTCTCGATTACTAAAAGTTCAAATTGTCGTTAACACACGCGCGTTACATCACAATTACTAGAGAGATTATACATTTTTATCTCAAGAGTTCAAAAATACTCGCGAAATGACATTGTATGTGAAATCCTTTCGATATACACGCGTGTGCACGCACTTTTTCAATATTTTCTACTACTTTATTTTTCTATTCATAAATTTTACATACTCTGTTTACATAATTTTTTAAACAATATGTATCTCTTACACCGAAAAAATTGTATTCTTGTTTTGAGGAGATATCCCACTTACTTTAAGTATATGTTATACTAAAATAGGCGCCAAGAAGAGTTTCTTATTTTAAGAGGAAAATCCTCTAAATAGTAATATTGATAAGAATATATACTGATTAGAATATAAAAAGCCTCTGTAAAAAAACATATATATCTCACTATCGAAAAAGACTATATTCTTAAATTAAGAATATTTTCTTAAATAAAGAATATTTTCTTAAATAAAGAATATATTCTTAATATTATTTTTTTACATAAAGAATATATTCTTAATATTTTCTTAATTTTTAAGAATATTTTCTTAAATAAAGAATATATTCTTAATTTCAGAAGAATATCATCTAAAAATCTTTAAGAAGATTTTTTAAGTATAAAATCTTCTACTTACGAGAATATAATTTTTTCGGTGTACTCATTTATTCTAGTTGTTATATATGACATATGCATTGATTGACATTAAAACAATTCGGTCATGTTTACTTCTTTTTAAAAATATCATGTGTAAATTGAATTTGAAACTTCGGTGCATTTATTCCACTTATCCGACGTAATCATCCACGAACAGGTTTTCTTCGCCTGACTGATTTGTTACTTATCCTCATTGTGCTTAAGTGAGTTCAATTATGCACGCCAATTAACGACCCATATAGGTAATAATAGTGGCGAAGAGAAATGAGAGAACGTAGAGAAGATGTATGAGCACGTGTGTGTTTATACATTCCTCTGACGAAGAAAACAGTCAGCAACTCTACACTCCGATCGGCGGAATCGGTGCAACCGCCGAGCTGCAAAAGGTCGGGATTGTAAATCAGATCCTGTTAACGGATGATCCGTCACCATCACCACCGCTCTCGCTCTAATGATCTAGTTTTCGCAGCCGAGATGGTACCGCGTGCCAACCAAGGTTGGCTTGCGTCAGAGACCGGTAATTTCCAGGCAGTCTCGAGCGCCTTCTCATTAATTTCTATACATTTTTCACACGACCATCGTTTCTCGCACCGAATAAGACCGGCGCGTTCGCTGATACATACGTTACATCCGCGCGGAACCTTCGTGCTGACGAAACGATTTTCGCACCGAATTCAACCCGTTATGTATTCACGGAGTAACTCGTAAATGCATATTACATTTTCAATTTGCATCTCGCCTTGTCGTCTCGCAACTTTTTCGTCAGTTTTCAATAGCACGGGAAAGAAAAAATTTTTAGATTTGCAATTTACGTACGTATGTTTCACACAGTGAATATTTTTATAGCTACTCTTAATTGTAAACAAATATGTTTTTGGTACAATGACAAATTTGTTCACAACAGATGCGCGTGTTGTATCAAGTAAATATTGCCAGAGGGTAGGTAGATATTGCAACGTGCAGCACGTCGTTAATCGTTAATACGCGATTATCCGTTTGTATAGTTCCGGTTGTCAAGTTGTGTCTACACAATTATTGTAATGCACGCGAATTACATCCAATTCGCATGCACGTTATTAATTAGCCATTGACCTTATCTCTCTCTCTCTCTCTCTTCTCTCTATCTCTCTCTCTCTCTGTAACTGGAATCTACCACGTTTCCAGACCAAAGTTTAATTGGCTCTGCGCATAGCTCCTTTCAGTACCTACAAAGTGCGGAGCAGCAGGTGCCTGATTATTCGCGCGATAACACTAACTGACTCTCGGAGGATCGTCTCGTTCCGAAGATGTAGCTGTATATTACAAAGCGCACACCGTGCTTATGACACGCATCTATTTTCCGCCGCACCTGATATTCTCTCGCCGCGCGATGATTAAGTGTCATATATTTTTTTTTTTTTTGTTTTGTTTTGTTCTGTTCTGTTTCTCGAGGCGAGAGATGACGGCACGTCGTCGCGGCTTGTCGTGCATCGCAGCTAAAACAATAATCCAATCTCAGACGATGAAAAACAGGATGGAGGCATTTCGTACGACCTGGTTACTTATGTCAGACAACTTCAAGAGACGCGTGAACGAACCGCAAACGGATTCTCGCAACGTCTGTCCGATGCAACGTCACTGCCATGGGAATCCGCAAAATCATTTTGCTCGTCGAATATAACTCGCGAATGGCTCGTCACCGCGTGTTGTATTGTACAAATACAGAGACAAGAGAGACCGGCGCGCGCGTTGTGAAATCCACGCAACTATAAATCGCGAAACGATGATCGCACATAGACCGCGTATGTATACGAATTTATGTAACCTCCCTCCCCCCGACGCGAACAATTTCAAATGACTAATTATAGTAATGAGGGGAAAGGGAAAGGCAATATGTAGTAACGCGCTTTTGTGTGTGTGTCTGTGTCTCGCGCGCGCGCGAGTTTCAGTAACCCCGCGGGATCTATAGTAGAATAGAAAAAGACAACACATGGATTCTTGCAAAGGTGTTTCCTTTATTTCGCGCATAAAATATACATAATGGCATCCCACAATAGGAGTCTCTCAAACCATTGTTATAAAAATATAGGTATATGTATATATAATTATGTCATGCGTTGCTTAACTATATATATATATATATATGACAATGATACGCTCCTTGAAAGAAATCGGACTCTCACTGCTTTGTTGTTGAGTGATAATTACTTAAGATAATGTACAATGTTTTTTTTTTTTTTTACTAAGTATTGTTCGATCGGAAGGAAAACTGTTACTTTTATTTTACACATGAGCCTGAACATCGCATATTTACTCTTACAGATTTTTTAACATTCTTAGAAAAACACTATAAGATTTTTGTACCGTGGTTGTGTGTACGTGTATGTGTGTACGTGTGAGTGTTATTATTCGTGTTATATACATTATTTTAAAAAAGTGTTTATTGTATAATTGTCTACGAATGTAAACTTGCTTAAGGTGTATTTATAACATACATTGCAACAGATTAGTTAGAGTGTGTTCATGTGTAATTAATAATTGTTGCGTCTCTCTAATAATGACAAATAACTGTGAAAAAATTGTATTATGACACTTTGTAAGGTATCTCTCTTAAGGAGAATAAGACCATTTGATTCTGTAATTGCGTTTGATTAACAAGTTATTTTTGATTAACAAGTTCTCGTTTTTCTAATCGCACGAACGTTTGATTTTCTTGGTAACAATGTTTGCATACACAATGTCCGATATACATTTCTGTCAATAATAATAAGATTGTATAAATGGTAACATCCATGTTTTTTCATTAAAGCTGAATAAATAAATACGTCGCATTTAATACTTACAAGAGCTGCATGTATTCAATGTTCGCACAAGATGCAATTATTATTAATATTAATAATTATATTAATGAGGCCAATATTGTCAATTGTAAATAGTGTTTACCTGTGTTACCGATGTAATATTAAAAAAAATCTTTTTTTCATTTTTTATTTTTAATAAAAATATGGTTAAAACACATTTATGTGATAATATAATAATTGAGATATGAATCAATACTTAAATTTCTTATAGACATAATATAGTGGTAGTTAGTAAAGTTTTACACGACGATGAATACATCCAGCGTATACATCTTACAATATTATAATATTTCATCAAAAGGTTTCCGTTAAATACTTGTATTTGTGAGGCAATGCATCGATAAATAATTTTACGGCAGAATGCCGAATTTAGAACTTTTAAATAACTAAAAAAAGTAATACACTTTTTGTGTAATTTTTTCTGTTACATTATAAAAATATATTAATAAAGATATGTGTTAAGATGTATTAATTGTAATTGTTATTCTATATTTCCAAATAAATAATTGAGTAATCAAGTGAACAGAATAAATTCTCAATTCTATGAATGGAAAACCCTAAGATGATGAAACGTATAAGCAGAATAATCAGATTTCCTATACATGTATGAAACTGAATGCAATACGAATAATCGATATCACTTAGATTACACAAGTAAAAGGGCTCGTATTTACACGTGTTATCCAGCCTTATAAATTCGTTAGATATCAGCTGGAGCGTTTAGTTTTACGATTACGCAGCCCGCGGTGGCAAGTACTCACGATCTGGCTGTGACGGACCTTGCGATGGGAATGGCAAACCTGATCCGGGTTTGCCCGGAACACCTCCTGGCCCTGCAGGCCCACTTGGGAATGATGGGCCGCTTGGTCTACCACTAGGATATCCACCTGGTCCTTGTGGACGTCCGCTCGGAGCACCGGGATAGCCGCTTGGACCTTGCGGTCCTTGAGGCTGACTCGGATATCCTGGAGATGGTCCGCTTGGTCCCGGATAACCGCCTGGACCACTAGGTCCTTGAGGTCTTGTTGACGGCCCAGAAGGACCCTGAGGTCTTCCAGGATACCCGCCTGGTCCGCTTGGTCCTTGAGGTCCTTGAGGTCCTGTTGGTGGTGTTAAGTATCCAGGTCCTGGGCGACCAGATGGACCTCCAGGTCGTCCTGGAAAACCACCTGGACCGCTTGGACCTGTTGGTCCTTGAGGGCCACTTGGATAACCGCCTGGTCCGGATGGACCTTGTGGACCTCCTGGATAACCGCCTGGTCCCGCTGGGCCTTGAGGTCCTCCTGGATAACCGCCTGGTCCGGATGGACCTTGTGGACCTCCTGGATAACCGCCTGGTCCTGCTGGGCCTTGAGGTCCTCCCGGATAACCGCCTGGTCCTGATGGGCCTTGAGGGCCTCCCGGATAACCGCCTGGTCCCGATGG